CCCTCCTTCCGGTTTCCACCTCTGGAAACCTTGAGGATCCAGGAAACATCTGCTGCCTCAACTTGAGAGCATTAATCCTGTTGTACCCAGGCCCAGAGACGGGTTCTCAGAGCAGAAGCCATGGTTTCTCCAGACCCCCTGTGTCCCCGCACTGAGACGCCTAGCAGCTTGCCTAACAGCGCCCCCACTGCTGTTAGCCTACAACCTCTAGGAACTTTGCAAGTATTAACTATGCTTCATCTTTGACCATTTGTGCTTAAGCCACAAGCTTAATTCAATTAAAGATATGCTTAATTCATCTCTCACATTTCCTTTACACAATGAGATAAATACATTAGAAAGCTAACGTAATCACACAAACTTATGTGGTGAAACTGGTAAAAATAACTGAGAAGCATAACATATAAGGTGGAGAAGGAAATGGCAACCCACTCCAGTGCTCCTGCCTGGAGAATCCCAGGGACGGGGGAGTCTGGTGGGCTGCCGTCTATGGGGTTGCACAGAGTCGGACACGGCTGAAGCGACTTAGCAGCATCAGCAGCAGCAACATATAAGGATTGGCAATGCATGAAAAACATTTCCCGCATAGTTTTAAACATGGATACACAAAGAGAAGAGAAACAGCCACAGCCAGAGGTTCATTTCTTCTAGGGAGGAGAGACTGACACAACTTCATCGAATTCAGTGTCACTCCCCATTTAGCAAGAACATTTTTAGCAATGAAATGTGCCTTTAATCTCACCATGCCAACCTTTCACACGGGAAAAAGCCTTTTCAAAACACAATCCTACAGTCCTTTAATATTTCTTTTGCTTTTTTCTCCTCCTTTTAATTAATAAAATCAAAACGGCAAGAGTACACGGCAAACTAAGCCAGTAAGGTAACTAAGCTTATTAAAAAGCAGAGACATTACTTTGCCAACAAAGGTCCGTCTAGACAAGGTTATGGTTTTTCCAGTGGTCATATATGGATGTGAGAGTTGGACTATAAAGAAAGCTGAGCGTCGGAACAATTGATGCCTTTGAACTGTGGTGTTGGAGAAAATTCTTGAGAGTCCCTTGGACTGCAAGGAGATCAAACCGGTTCATCCTAAAGGAAATCAGTCCTGAATATTTATTGGAAGGACCGATGCTGAAGCTGAAACTCCAATACTTTGACCACCTGAGGCGAAGAACTGACTCCCTGGAAAAGACCCTGATGCTGGGAAAGACTGAGGCAGGAGAAGAAGGGGACGACGGAGGATGAGGTGGTTGGATGGCATCACCGACTCGATGGACATGAGTTTGAGTAGGCTCTGGGAGTTGGTGATGGACAGGGAGGCCTGGCGTGCAGCTGCCCATGGGGTCGCAGAGTCGGACTCGACTGAGCGACTGAAGGACTGACTCAGGGGAGGTGGGCTTAGCCAGCGGCGCATGCGTCTTAGCTGCAGTGGGCGGGACGCCGCAGTCAGGTTGATTGATGGCCGCGGAACAAAGCGCGGGGCGCCGACGTCAGCGGAGCTCAGCTGACTCCCTAACACACAAATTACATCTTCGTGCGCACACGGAGGAGTATGATAAAAATGAGGATGTGGAGGGTGTACTGAAATATCTGTAGGATTCATATGCGTTTAAGGCGGTTAAGTTGCAGGCGGTACGTGTTTTCCTGACTCTATCCTCACGCAGGACTACTATATGCTTTTGTGAGTGTGTGCGCGCAAAGGACCTGCTTACGGACTCGTGCGCGCGCTCAGGCTCACCCGCACACACTATGAGGTCCTCCAGGAGGCACAGGATAGGCGATGGCGCGTTCACCTTCTCGCCGTAGAATGCAGAGAGCACAGTCCTTGTTTTGGCTTTCCCTCCCCGGGGGATGGTGCTGCAAAGGATGCTGTTTACTGCGCGCCCCCGATGCCACAGCGCGGACAGCTCCGAGGCGCCCGGCGGTGCGCCCCCAGTTTCTCAGTGTTAGGTACAGCGTGAGGCAGCCATGCAAGCAGCACCGGCGTGGTGGGTCTCTCTATCGGGTGGACGCATCTCCCGGCTGCTCAGCGCAGCGTGTGTCCGCCTCTCCCTGGCCGAAATCCAAGGTGCCCGTCCTCTCCGGAGTCACAGGGGCGGAGCCAGCGGCTGTCGGGTGCCCACTCCATCACCGCGTCCTTGGTGAATGTCAGCGGCAGGACCCACTCCTCTGCCTGCCCTTCCAGACTTGTTTACTCCCCTTAAAACAGATCCTATCCACCCCCGCCCCCACACTGGCATCTACTGACATCTGTGTCTTTACATATTTGCAGAATGTGTCATTTCTCACCTTTGATACACAAAGTAAGCGAATAACTTTCTGGTGGCATTTGTTACATCTGCTGCTGAAACTGTGTGTCAAATTGATTTTGCAACAGAACCAGATTTAACTCATTTTGCACAGTATGCAAGCTGCCTATTAGGATCTTCCACTGAAGTCCCTCAGTCCAAATGTTAAGATGTGAAAGTCGCTCAGTCGTGTCCGACTCTTTGCGACCCCATGGATTATACAGTCCATGAAATTCTCCAGGCCAGAATACTGGAGTGGGTAGCCTTGCCCTTCTCCAGGGGATCTTTCCAACCCAGGAATCGAACCGGGGGTCTCCTGCATTGCAGAGGATTCTTTACCAACTGAGCTATCAGGGAAGCCCATTGAGATAGGTTTCATATTTCTTGCACCAACCGACTTTTGCAGGGCATAACGATCATTCATAGCAGAACCTGCGCTTAGACACTGAAACGACAGAGCTTATATTTGAAACAGTGTCCCGAAGACTATAATGTCCTCATGCCAATTTATTTTGCTGTTGGTGTTCATCCCAAATTGCTGGATACCACAGTCAAGATAAAAGATGTCGTCCTGGACGTCTGTGGGCTACATCCAAAGAGCCAAATGAAGTTGCAAGTATTCATTTTTCTTTTCCACGTGTCCCTCCTCAGCTGCTCACGAGTCCTCTCCAGACGGCCCTCCTCCGTGCTTCCTTCTCTTTCTCTCTCTCTTGCTGGAGAGAAAGAATGTGGGGAATCGGGCTGTGGGTGCGATCACCCTAAAAACCCACCTCCCTTAGCTGGCGATGGTTGACCTATTAACTCCTGAAGGAAGTCCACACACATGCAGAGAGCCTGTCCTGCTCTCTGAAGGAGAAGGCCTGGCTGAAGCCGCCCTGGACGCCTGGACACAGCAGTGACCAGAGGCAAGCAGACAAGCGTCTGCTTTGTGGCCGTGTGCAGCCTGGGTCTCCAGCCTGGGACCTCTGCAGTTTTAAGACCAGGAGAGTCTGGAGCTGGAAAGAGCAGAGACAGCCACTCTGCTCCTGGTTGTTATGTATGGCCATTGAAAGAACTGGAAGAAGGGAGGCCACAGGTTGGGGGAAAAAAGAGTTAAAATTATTATGTGCACTTAGTTGCTTGGTCGTGTCCAACTCTGTGTGACCCCGTGGACGGCAGCCCACCAGCCTCCTCTGTCCATGGAGATTCTCCAGGCAAGAATACTGGAGTGGGTTGCCATGCCCTCCTCCGGGGGATCTTCCCAACCCAGGAACTGAAGCCTAGTCTTCCAGATTGCAAGCCAATTCTTTACCACCTGAGCCTCCAGGGAAGCCCAGAATTATTATGAATTTGAAACAAATCAGGCCACAGTCTTTACAGTTACTTTATTCCAAGGTTGTGTGCTCTGGATGCTCACTTTTAGCTGAAAGTTCTGAGCAGGTTCTGAGGGTTCTGCTCTTGGTTCTGAGCAGATAGATGCGGCCCAGAGAAGATCTGGGAGACAGAGCGATTCTCTCAGGGAAGCTCTGGGAGACCTGGTTTCTTAGGGCCCAGATGACCCGCTTGCAGAACTCGTGGGTTCCATGTGGATAAGAGGCCTGAATACATGGAGCGCTTCTAAGGGTAGGTTCCAGAGCTGGAGCTCCGTTCTGCATCCGGGCCAGGCCTGTAAGCGGGGACACCCCCTCTGCACAGGGTCCCTGCCACACTGGCTTGGTCCCTGTGCCTCGTTGGGCCTCCCTGTGATACCACCGGGCTGTGGCCTGTGCTGGAACCAATGATGGAAATGAGGGGTTCGTGGGGCTCCCCTCGTGGTTCAGACGGTAAAGAAACTGCCTGCAAGGCAGGAGATCCAGGTTTGATCCCTGGGTCTGGAAGATCCCCTGGAGGAGGGCATGGCTACCCACTCCAGTACTCTTGCCTGGAGAATCCCACGGACAGAGGAGCCTGGTGGGCTGCCGTCCATGGGGTCGCAAAGAGTTGGACACGACTGAGTGACTAAGACTTCCTGGGACTACCCCTTGAGGGTTAACCTGGCCGGGCACCTCTCAACTCTTGCAGGGGCTCCCCCCTCCTCCCGCCTTGTTCGTGGCCTCGCGGAGACACGGAGACACAGGCGGGCCTGTTTGTCTTGCTGGCCATCTGCGAGCGTCGGGCATTAGCATGCAGAAGCATGCCGGGCTCCTGCCTGCCGCGGCTGCTGACGTCTTTGCTGCCCGATCTGCATTCATGGCTGGTGTTCTGTTCCGTGTCAATAACACCCCCACACAGAAGCAGCTGCCTGCTCCGCACCAACAGCGCCCACCCATGGGACGTTAGCCCGGGGCGGGGGGCGGCCTGTGCACCCTGCTCGCGGGCAGATCGCGCGCCCGCCCTGTTTCTGGGTGCGCGCGCGCGGGGTGCACAGCTGCCGGGGTCTGTTCCGCCGCCGTCCCGCCCCGGCGCAGAACTGCGCTCCTCACTGCGCAGAGGGGAACTATTTCAAGCTTTTCCCCTAAAGGAGGCCAGGCGGCTCAGCCCCCCTTCGCGCGGGGGCGAGGGAGGGAGGGAGGGGGAGCTGGACGCGCGCCAGGTCTGATGGCTCCAGCCGCTTGATTTATGAGTCTGATAATAAAAATCCCATTAGGCTCCTCTCATTGAGAAAAAGGAGGAAAAAAAACCAGGCTGTGTGTCACCGAGCGGCATTGACGCAGGCAGCTCTGACGACAGCAGCCGCGGGCGGGGGACGCGGGGATGGGGGCGCAGGGCGCCCGCGAGGGGCGCGCGAGGGCCGGCTGCCAGATTGCCGCAGCCCGGCTGCCTTGCGTCCTCTGCCGAACCCCCCTGCCGCGCCCCCGCGCGCCCCCGCCCTCACTGCTGCGCTCTCCCCTCGGCAGACCTGCCTCTCTTCCCCGACCCCCTCCCTCCGCGCCCCCGCAGGCCTCTGCTACACCAGCCCCCGCAGATCCACCGGCCGCATCTCCTCAACCGCCCCATCCCTGCACCTGCTCCGCACTCCCCCAAACCTCCCACCCCTGGGCCCTCCTGCCTGGGAGGTGGGAAGAGAGGCCGGTGCTGGACCCAGAGAGAGAGGGGCGCGGACTTGGAGGTCGCGGGTGGCAGCCCCCAGGGGAAGGGGGCTCTGGCTGGAGGCAGGGAGGCGCTGCGTTTCCCACGGAACACTTTGTGATGGCCAAGCCCGGGAGGGAGTCGCCATCGCCAGAAACCCTGCAGACCCCTCTCCAGCAAGCCCGTTGTGCAGGGTCTGAAACCTACTAGAGTCAGAGTTATTTTTAAGTTAAAAAAAAAAAAAGCTTCAGGTTAACAAACAAGATGAGCGAAGCTGTGCTCTGAGGGTGCGTGTTGGATCTGGGCCTGGCCAGCATCCATCCGTGTTGCTCAGGCAAAGCTCTGGGGTCAGCCGGGCTCCACTGGAGAAGCTGGGGAGGGAGGTACCGTCCAGTGCCAGAGGCCCCTGGGGTCAGCCCCAGGAAGGGGGCAGATGCGGCTGTGCTGGCCTAAAGGTAAACGCCGCTTCTCTATCAGAACAAGCAAAGGTCTGACTACATGTAAACATCTAAGTTTCCCAGTCACTCTTCATGATAGCTGGAGGTTTTCAGACACTCTCCACAACAGAAGAGCTGGTCAGATTCACTCTTTTCTCAACGTGCTGGAAAATCCCTTATATAATATTGACCTCCACAACTACAGTTTAGTCCCAGCCTTCCATTCTGACATCCCTCCTCTGAATGCCCTTGGTGCAGTAGATACACTACTCCTGGTGTCCCAGCGACACAGACCCTTCCAGCTCAACTGTAGTAGGCAGCAGCCTCACCCGTGGAGAGAGATTTTTGAGAAGACCTCTTGTTACAACTTCCTTCTCATCTCCGGCAAATCCTAATTTTATCTTTGACTCAACACACATGTCTGATACTCGTATGCTGATATTCAAAGCAGTGTGACTCACCACAGAATAGAGGCAGAAATCACTCACACGTTGGTCTGGTGATGAATGGAAAGACAGAGTGTGGCCTGCCTGTGCAATGGAATATCATTCAGCTGTAAAAAGGAACAAACTTCCAACACATGCTACAGTGTGGATGAAACTGGAGGACCATGATAAGTGATATAAACCAGTCATAAACAGAGAAACACTGTATGGGTTCTCTTCAATGAGGTCCCTAGAGGAATCAAATTCACAGAGGCAGAAAAATACATTGAAGAGTGGTTGCCAGGCCTGGGAGGAGGTGGGGATGGGACTTAGTGTTTAGTGGGTACAGAGTTCCTGTTTAGCACGATGAAAAAGTTGGAAGATAAAGGTGATGGTTGTGCAGCATCGTGACTGTGACCAGTGTCCCTGAATTGTGCAGTTAGAGACAGCTGTGTCATGTCTTGTGTCAGTCGCTAAGTTGTGTCTGACTCTTTTCGACCCCAGGACTCCTCTGTGCATGGAATTTTCCGGGCAAGAATACTGAAGTGCGTTACCATTCCCTTCTCCAGGAGATCTTCCCGACCCAGGGATTGAACCTGGGTCTTCTACACTGAACACAGATTCTTTACCATCTGAGCCACCAGGAAGTCCTGTGTAATGTCTGCATTTCACCAGAAGAAACAAACATGAATGTCTTCAGGTCTCCTCTTCAAGCTGCCCATTCTGAGGACCGCAGCCCTCAGGTGGGGCCCCTGAGTTGTGGACACCCAACTTTAAATGGACATTCTGCTGTCTTAGAACACAAATGAGTGCGTGTGTGCTGAGTCGCTCAGTCGTGTCTGACTCTTTGCAACCCCATGGACTGTAGCCTGCCAGACTCCTGTGTCCTTGGGGCTCTCAGGCAAGCATATTCGAGTAGGTTGCCGTGCCCTCCTCCAGGGCATCTTTCCGACCCAGGGATGGAGCTCCTGTCTCTTATGTCTCCTGCACTGGCACGTGGGTTTTTTACCATTAGCACCACCTGGGAATTGCAGAACCCAAATGGGATGAGATACTAAAACTCACTAAGGGCTTTCTTGCCCCTTTATACCGATTTGAGAGTGTTCCAGAGTGGACTGAATCCTCATCCTCTCTGCATCTTTCCTTTGCTAATGTCCCAGCCCTACTACAGACACACATTCATAGAATGGATTTCAGTTCACTTCAGTTCAGTCGCTCAGTCGTGTCTGACTCTTTGTGACCCCATGGACTGCAGCACGCCAGGCCTCCCTGTCCATCACCAACTCCTGGAGTTTACCCAAACTCACATCCATTGAATCAGTGATGCCATCCAATCATCTCATCCTCTGTCATCCCCTTCTCCTCCCACCTTCAATCTTTCCCAGCATCAGGGTCGTTTCAAATGAGTCAGCTCTTTGCATCAGGTGGCCAAAGTACTGGAGCTTCAGCTTCAACATCAGTCCTTCCAATGAACACCCAGGACTGATTTCCTTTAGGATGGACTGGTTGGATCTCCTTGCAATCCAAGGGACTCTCAAGAGTCTTCTCCAACATCACAGTTCAAAAGCATAAATTCTTCACCATTCAGCTTTCTTTATCGTCCAACTCTCACATCCATACATGACCACTGGAAAAACCATAGCCTTGACTAGACGGACCTTTGTTGGCAAAGTAATGTCTCTGCTTTTTAACATGCTGTCTAGGTTGGCCATAACTTTCCTTCCAAGGAGTAAGAATGGATTTGGGGAGAGAAAAATCATTTCAACGTGTTTGCTTACTGCCAACCTAAGTGTATTAGTTTCATATGGTTACTGTAAAGATGACCTCCAATTTAGTGGCTTAAAACAACACAAATGCCTCATCTTCTGGTTCAGGAGGTCAGAAATTCAAGATGGTCTCACTGAGCTGAAGTCAAGGTGTGGGCAGGGCTGTTTCTCCCGGGAAACACAGATTAAGCGGAGCCGGGCCCGCTGGACGCTCCCTTATCCTCCCGTCTCGAGGTCCATACTTCAGTCTCATGGCAGCGTCCCCCTTGCCATGCCGGGCACCGCCGTCACAGTTCTGGGGGCTGTGGGAGGCGTGCGCATCTTCAGGGCGGTGATTCTGCCTACCGCCCCAAGGCCCCGGTCAGGGTTACCGCTTCTGTGATCGGGAACACTGCTCTTGGTGAACTCGGCAGCACCAAGCAGCTTGCTCACAACTCGGTCAACACTCAGGCAAGAAGTCAGCTGAGGTTCTCTGTGCGGCTGCTTTTCCCGTGGCTTTGTGCCCATTTAAAAGCCCTGCAAGTTGTCCTGACCCAAGGGCCCTGCTCCTGGAATGAGTGGTGGGTGTTGACGGGGGGCTCATCTTTGCAACTGAGACCCCAGGAAACAGTCACCCGCCCCATGTGCAGCCTTCTGGGGGTGGGGCAGACACAGTGCCCCCCCCACCATCACCACCAGGCATGGACCTCATGGGGACAGAGGATGGAAGCCAGACGCCTGTGCCAGCAGCCCCATGGGTCCTGCGTCGGTGAAGCTCTGGCTTGGATATTACAGGCCTGTCACCTTCTGAAGATGCTTAATAATTTTGAACAAGTTCTCGAATTTTCATTTCGCACTGAGCGCAGCAAGTTGCATGGCCGGTGGTGGGTGGACAGGACATGCTGCCCGGCCGGGAGCCACACAGCTGGTCCTTGTCCCCGAGCCCGGCTCACCACCCAGAGCCCTGCCCTGCGCTTTCTGCCCGGGGCACAGTTGTGCCCGGAGGTGGACGTGGCTGTATGTTCAAGTTTCCTGCCACGGGCGTGGCGTGGGAGCCAGGAGGGCACACGACTGATGCCCTTCAGCCTTTATGAGTCAGACAGAGACCCTCCGCTGCGGCCACACGGGACCCGGGCGTGGAGCTGCTCGAGGCTGGGGTGGGGCCCGGGGCCGAGGCTGGCAGCTCGTGGCCTCCAAGGCCGCACAGACACTCGAGCCGCAAGGAAAGGAGCGCAGAGCAGGTGCTCCCGCCTGGTCTCCCCTGGGCCTCTGCCTGGGCGGGCAGACCTCAGCTCCTGCGCCAGCCACTTGGGGGAACTGACCCACGGGGGCCACGTCCACAGGCAGACACGGTCTGTGGAGCACGTTGCCTGTGCTGGGCTGTGTAGTTCTCTTCCTGGGGCAGAAGGGGATGCTGGAACGGTGGGTGGTCCTAGCCTTGCTCTCTGCTTCCTTGTTGGTCCCGCCTCCTGCTCTGGGCCTGCCCTTCTGGACCGCACCCCATGGGCACGGTCTGTCCTGCCCCTGTCTCCATCTCACCTGATGGCTTTGCCTGTCAGACGATCCTAACCGTCTCTGTCTCTAAGTACGGGAGTGCGTGCCAAGTCGCTCAGTCATGTCCGACTCTTTGTGACCCCATGGACTGTAGCCTACCAGGCTCCTCTGTCCATGGGATTCTCCAGACAAGAATACTGCAGTGGGTTGCCATGCCCTCCTCCAGGGGATCTTCCTGACCCAGGGATCGAACCTGCATTTCTTATGTCTCCTGCATTGGCAGGTGGGTTCTTTACCACGAGGAACACCTGGGAAGCCCACTTCTGATCATTAGATTAATTTTCAAAAACATTCATTTTCTAGGATTTGTTGCAAGTCAGGCAGACTCCACTGCTTTCTAAAAACTTGCAGACATCACCATGGACTGGGTCCATGGCTAAGAGGGAGGGAAACGGCCGAACCTCAGAGAAAAGGAAGACCACGAGTCTGTCACTGTCCTGAAGACTCTTAGCTGCCCGCCTGTTGCTCTGGGGTAAGCTGATCTTGAGTGCTGATTGCCAGGCCCCCACTGGCAGGGAATCTTTCCCTGTCCTCACTCCTAGCACGCTTCTCCCTGGCCGGCCCACTGCTCCCCTGTGTCTAGAAGGCTCCTTCTGTCCTGAGCAGCTCACAGGCCACCCCCCCCGCCCCCCGCCTTCTCTCCTCCTCCTCTTCTGACGAAGGCCTGCTCTGTTTTGAGATCCCATGAGAAATATCACTTCAAAGATATCTTCTACTGCTTTCCATCCCAACCCCAAACACAGAGCATCACGGGGACCTCTGCTTGCTCGGGGTCGTTTTCCCTCATCGCGTGAATTATAACTCGTGGTTACACATCGACTCCTATGTTCCCATCTCATCATCTGTCTCACCAGCGCTGAGACAGTCAGCTCCACCAGACATGGAGCCCAGAGCCCGCCAGACACGGAGCACACCGTGCATGTATAGCCTCTGCCATGGCGTGTCTGCTCCACACACGTCTTCTGGGACCAAACAAATGAAAGGACAAGATCGTAAGCAACTGGGGTGAGCTGAAATCCAGCTCATAGAGTGCTTGCTCGTGCAGCTGACGTTTAAGTTCAAACTCTTCGTTAACAGGACGGTTGCTTCGAACTTGGGGATCATGAGAAGGATGGATCTTACATCCCTGTTTCTGTGAGCAAATAGAAAAGTCTCCAGTCATAGTTCTGATTTTCTTTTTCTTTCTTATTTTTCTTCCTACTTGCAGTATGTTTCCCAATTTCTGCCATCTATGAACTCTGATGATTGTATTGTTTCCTTTTGTAATTATTTGCAGGTGAAATATTTTATTAGCTGTTTTTAGCATGTATTTAACATAAATGTGTCTCAAGATATAAAAGCCAATTGGTGGCACAGGAAAATTTTTGAGGAGACCTGAAGATACTTTAAATAAAGATATTTATTACCATCTGTACTCAACATGCATAGAATTTTCATAGATAATGCGGTTGTGTTAAATTTTCCATTTTGATCTTTGAGTTGACCTTGTGCGTGCACATTCCTCAATAATCCTTTTACCACACTTACTGTATACATTTATGTTTCAGCATTGCCATGGTTACCAAAATAAGTAATTGAAGAAAAACTTTTCCCCAAAGATCCAACTTTAAATGGGTTACATGCTGTGACAGTGCGTTCTTTGATTTGTACATTAGTGAAATTCTTAGCATTTCTCAGTGGAACATTCCAGATTTGCAAGAGACTCTCCAACAGTTCAGACCTTGGTGAGTATGTTGAGAACTATCTCAAGCCTTAGGGAGGCATTTTCACAAGTGTCAGTGATGTATTTATTTATTCTTCATCAGTCGCTCAGTCGTGTCCAACTCTTTGGGACCCCATGGACTGTATGTAGCCCCACCAGGCTGTTCTGTCCATGGGATTCTCCAGGCAAGAATACTGGAGTGGGTTGCCATCCCCTTCTCCAGGGGATCTTCCCGACCCAGGGATTGAACTCCAGTCTCCTGCATTGGCAGGTGGGTTCTTTACCGTTGAGTTGCCGGGGAAGCCGATGGCTTCTGGAGAAGGTTTCATTTTTTCCAGAAAAGAGCAGGTGCCAGCCACTGTCATTTTTCTGCTCTCATCTTCATCCCTTCAATAGGAAATGGCGCTTGGCTCCAAGCAGCCATTCTTGCCAAGAAGGGACCAGCAGGGAGAAAAGGCCAAGAGGTGCCTGGGGTGTTGGGCATCCGGGCCAGCTAAGGAGGAAGCCCCCATCCAGACTCGCTGTTCCGTGAGGGAAGGACGGTGGCGTTTCTGCAGCTCCGGAAGCGTGACGGTGCTGGAGCCCTGGGATGAAGGGGTCTATGACGGGTCCCTCTGGGTGCCGTCCAAGGATGCAGCGGCCTGTCCTCCAGGGAGGAGGGGCTACAGAGGGAGAGCGTCCCAGGGCAGGCAGCCGTGAGCGGACCACTGACAGTGGCCACAGGCAGGGTGTCCTGGCCGAGGGAATGGCCTCGGTCCTGCAAGGCGGCCTGTGCAGCCTGCAAGTGAGGAGCTGGAGCCGGAGGAGGCAAGGCTGCAGATGCGGCGGGCACGCGCTGGGGCCGGGCCGCGGGCACTGTCCTTTGGGGAGGGTTGCACAAGGCTGAGCCAGAAAGCATCCTGTGCGCATCTTTTCCAGAAACTCCCCTGGGCGTGGGGAGGGAACGTCCACAATGCCAATAGTTTCCAGGCCAGGGAGAGGGCTGAGAAGAACAGAGGGATTTCTCTAAGAGCCGCTGGGAGAAGGAGACGGGACCCAGCAGGAACGCCCGGCGGGTCCACTCGGGCCTATCTGGCTTGGGGCTATGAACCAGACCTGACCCACGGGGCCGTGAGCACCATCCACGCATGAAGCGGCCTGAGCCAGCGGGCCCAGGCTCCTTCTGGAATCCTGGTCCGACGGAGGTGGAATCAGCGCATCAGGATCTTTGATGCAGGTGTATTAAGAACTCAGTCAGGCCTCGGGAATACCACCCCTCCGCTTCGTGGCTTCTCTCTCTACTCTTCCCACCGGGTGAAGAAATGCTTTTATTTCTTGGTCCCCTGAGTCGAGCCCCAAGTGACGATGGCAGGAGATGCACAAAAGAGCCTCTTTTCACTCTGCTTTTTTTTAATCTTCTTTTGTGAGCCAACTAAGCTCAAAATGATTATCCTAGGTCTTTGGGGAAAAAACCTAAGTGCTTTCCTCTGGATCAGAGGTGGCTAGTGCCTTCCCTCATGGATGGAAAAATGACCTTAGACTTTGAGGAACTGTATTGGTCTCTTTGTTGAAGTTCCATTTTCAAATCACCTATTTCTTCGCGAAGATCTTTAAGAGGGGGCGTGGCGTTCCTCTCGGACCTGCTGGCCTCTCACTGCGGGCCTCACAGAGGCTCTGTGAAGAAGCAGAACGCTTGGGGACACAGCAGGATCTCACAGGTGAAGGAGTTCAGCCCTTTTATAGTATAAAGATGGAAGATAAGATCCAGAGAGATGAAAGAACACTGTCGAACGGTGTGTTAACTGTGGTGAGGATGAAAATAAACCAAAAAATGCATATTTTCAACATTTCAGTTAAATGTTCCTTTCCGTCCCTTTCTTAGAAGCAAGATGTTTCCAAGACTGTGGACAAATTGGACAATTGGAAGCAACTGATAGACCCATAGATATATAGATAGCATCCAGTCATTTCTGTGTACAAATGGCATACACATTTGCTCCTTAAACCAATCTATTAGGGAGTCGGGGAATGTACTATTTTCATCTCCGTCTTACAGATGAGGAGAGGAGTCTTAGTGACATCAAATGACTTCCCCAAACTCACAGAGCAAGAACGTGACAGAATTGAGAACAGAAATGAGTCCTGGTTCCAACTGATTTCTTCCCAGCACATTTACTTCATAATACAGTGGAATACCAGGTTCAGAATGTATGTGCTCAGTTTAGTAGACAAGAGTGATAGAGGCACGTGTTTATATTATGTTCTGGTAAGTTCTTCTCACCCCAAGGTGCCTGAGGACGAAGCAGACCCTGGACCCTAACCTTACGAGTTCAGTGAACTAAATTACTTCTTTAAAACTTTTCTTTTTCCACGAATGCAGATTTGTTTACACTTGGGGAATTTTGTTTTTCTTATGAAATGAAAATGATTGGTGAATTGTAAACTTACGGAAACCCTTTGAAGAATTTGATAATATCTAACAAGACTGTGTTTATATTTACATGGCAGCCCAGCTCGAGGTTGGGAAAGGAGTACGTCAAAGATGTATATTGTCACCCTGCTTACTTAACTTCTATGCAAAATATATCATGTGAAATGTCCAGCTGGATGCAACACAAGCTGGAGTCAAGATTGCCGGGAGAAATGTCAACAATCTCAGATATACAGATGACACCACTCTAACGGCAGAAAGTGAAGAGGAACTACAGAGTCTCTTGATGAAGGTGAAAGAGGAGAGTGAAAAAGCTGGCTTGAAACTCAACATTAAAGAAAACTAAGATCATGGTATCTGGTCCCATCACTTCGTGGCAAATAGAGAAAAGTATAAGCAGCGACAGATTTATTTTCTTGGGCTCCAAGATCACTATAGATGGTGACTGCAGCCATGAAATTAAAAGACACTTGCTCCTTAAAAGGAAAACTCTGACAAACGTAGACAATGTATTGAAAAGCAGAGATACTACTTTGCCAACAAAGGTCCATATAGTCAAAGCTATGGTTTTTCCAGTAATCATGTACAGATGTGAGAGTGGACCATAAAGAAGGCCGAAGTGCTAAAGAATAGATGCTTTTGAATTGTGGT